TGAAGATCCGCCTATCACGCACCCATTGCCAGTCTCAGCGAATACTAAGATTCCCCCTCCACTGCCGAACGCCTCTTCCTGGGTTTCTCTGACCGCGTCAATCCGGATAATAGCAGAAGAAACACCTGCAGCGAGTAGTATAGCACACGCAGCGTTTCTCATGCGTTCGGCAATAATGAAAGGAAGCCCTCCGACCCGTGCTTCACCTCTGATGAGCTGAACAGGGCCCCTCTCTGTGAGGGTTACTGGAGGAAGTGCTTTTGTGAGGGAGGGGACACTACAAAACACGGCTCCGCCTCCCTTTGGGAAGTAACCTCGTCGTATGATGTTGAGCGCGATGTCCAGGCCGAAATGCCGTTTCATGAAGGGCAAGAAAACATGCTGGGTATAATCTATCTGAGGAGCTTGGATTGCATTTGTCCCTCCGCGGAGAGTTAGTTGGGAAGGCGGAGTGGGCGAAGAAGAAAATAGTAAACACGGCAAGGAGACTTGGAGAAGCAAGGTTGTCGAGCCCGCTGTTCCGGGATCAGCAGTTAATATTTTAGGTAGTTCTATTTTCCCGGGTTTGAAGGTGACGCTGGTCGATGACAAGTGCACGCCCTCTGTTTCGGCTGAACAGATGGCGGCTGCAAGAATGATCCCTAGAGTCCGTGTTAGCCACACTGAGATACGAAGCTGATAGTACATACCTGCTTCATGCTGTTTTCGGAGGCCCGGAGGTTTTCGATTATGGCGAACGTTTGGGATGGATATCGGTTTTGACAATAGTGCAGAGAGAGCGACGGCGTTGCGAAGGATCTGTCCACCACCTTCACCAAAGCTTCCATCAATATGCACCAGATTATGCGCGATGGTGGAAGTCATGATTGTGTTCCAAATCGGGGGAGTTGGTTGTAATTGGTCCGTGCACTAGTTGAGAAGATATAAAAGGGAGCTGCGAACGACCTGAATCCTTACCACTCTGGCCTTTTGGCTTAGATCAAGTGTAGTATCTGTTCTTAATAGTTTAACCACTATTATGAGGGCACCGCCCTCATTCTTTGGTTATCAAATTTTTGCCGCCCTTGTTCCTTCGAGCTCTGCTTGCAACTCGAGAGACATGATGACCTTGCCACTGCACTATCGGCCTGCGTCGTCGGGGGTTCTTTTTTCCCAAACTCTTTCTCTTTGTGGAGTCGCTACTGCTTAGTCTCTTTACTTTGCATGGTGCTTGGCAAACAGTATGAGGCTTGGTTTTTTTGTGAAATTAAATGTTATTTTTGTGTCTATAACTGTCCGTGATAAGTTACAAGAATTAGAGACTAAACGGTGTGGGTAATCCAGCCTGGGTCCTCCGAATTAGGTACAGAAAAACTGAACATATGTATGAGTGGTCGTGATGAAGAGGGTATCACCTTTCAAGTCCGGATCCAAGCTAGATAACCACATGAGGCTTCAACATAAGAGTACACAAAAACATACACCCACCGCATTTCGTTGTCGCGGGAGCCATGCAGTGGGAGCAGGCTTGCCTTTCGACGACGGATTCGATGCGTTTCGAAACTTCGCCATGCCTTGGTTGAATATGTAGCTGGACATCAGCACTTGCTCTTTGCGGCGTTGCTTCTCGAGATCGACCCGCATCGCCTGCAGGTGTTGATTCGTGAGCTCCCGACCAGACAGCTTATGATACAAAGTTCGCGTACCCTTTCGCGTTGAACTTCCTCCTTCAAATCTTTGATTTGAGTCTGGAAGCTTCCTTCAGCCTCTTCGAAAGAGGACTGCACGATGGTTTAAACATCAGAACATTGATGAGTCAGGTAGACCTAAACTCACCGTCGAACGGCCACCGAGCTTGGCTTGCTCCTCCTTGAAAAGCTTGTCCTGAGACTTGATAAACTAAGAGCAGGACTGAGCGAACGACAATCATCTTTGGCCGCATCACGTACCTGCCGTGCTTTGGCGAGTTTATCTTGAGCAGTTTTCAATTGCTCCTTGATAACCACATTGTCTTCATGCAAAGCTAATAACCTTGCCTTGACGTCTTCTGGCACATCTTTGCCAGAGACCGATGCTCGCAAGTCACTGGTAGCAGTCAGCGTGCAGACCACCATTAACAACTGCAACGACCTACCCAAAGACTCGCTCACGCTGGATCATCTTATCTCTCTGACCAATACCGTCGCTCTGCAGGCTCGCTTTTTCTAGCAGGAGCCCATTGACCTGCTCCAATAGCATCTTATTCTTTTCGTTCAGCTCCCTGATCTGGTTCTTTAAACGATTCATATCAGCTTCCATGCCCGCCTTGTCTTCCTTGAGGGATTCTCGCAATGATGCAAGGATGTCGACCTGGTCCTTGTTTACAAGATTCACTGCGAAATACCGCCAGTCAAAAAAGAGTAGCACTTTCGAGATCCGAGGACTTACGATTCGATTTAGCAATCGTTAGCTCCCTCTTCTGAGTCTCAAAAGCGACTTCAAGCTCGGCGTGCTCTTTCCGCAAAGAATCTAACTGATCGACTGTCTCGTTAAGACGTTGTCGTAGCGCAATTGCAGCTTCCGGCCTGTGAACGATTTGAATCGGCTACTTGTATAGGAGAGATTCACCTACCCATCTCCTAGTGCTTTACCACTCCGTATTTCCTCGAGGTCGCGTTGCAGTACCAGCTTTTCTCGATGTGCGGTCATATAATCCGCTTCGTACCGTGCCTTCATCTTATTGGCGTCTTCTAGCAGGTTCTGCAGGACAAGTATGTGGCTGGTATCGGCTTCGTTCTTCTTCGCTGATTTCAACTCCCTTTGCAACTTCTTCACCTGCAGCTTCAAATCCGTCATCGTCGTCCCTGTAATGGCATCGTCTAGCTCTCCATCGAGACCAAACGAGTTGCCCATGAGCTCTTCTTCAGTGAGTTCATCATTATTCCCCAAAGGCTCTGTCGCCTGCGTCTTCGACGTAGTGGGTGCCCGATGCGAAGTGAGTTCCATCTCGCGCATACGTTCCTGGTAGAGCTCCAACATCTCGGTATCCTTCTTACGCTCCTCGGTAGTAATCTTCAACTTCGTACGGGCTTGTTCCAACTCGAACTTCACTGTCTCGATATCTTGTGAGCGTGTTGAAACCCTTCCTTCAAGTTCGGCTATCTGGTTTTTATAAGATTCTATGAGTGGCTTGAATGCGGCAACCTTGCGGTAGTCCTCCTCAAGCGCTGCATTCTTGTCGACGAGATCGGCATTTTGTGCCTCCAGCGACTGAATGGCAAGTCATTGAAGTGGTCGACATGGTTACAACAAAGAACAAACCTTGACGTGTTGGCGAAGGTCAGCGCCCTCCTGGAGTTTCTTCTTGTACTTCTCCATGACATTCTCTGTCTTTTGTAGTCTATCGGCTGCATGGCGATACCTATGTGTTTGAGTACCAAGGTCAATCAGTGATTGAGATAACACATACTCATCTACTTGGTCTTTGAGGCGCGCAGCCTCGTCAGCTTTGACCTGCAACTCGTCGATTCGTCGTGTAAGGTCAGTCACCAACGATGTGTGCTTGTCAAGCTCGGCCTCCGCCATGGCAAGATTGTCTTCGCTCTTTTGGCTAGCACCTCCGCAGTCATAAGACGAGATCTAACTGAATGGTTCGAACATGTACTCACAGTTCAGTGCGAAGGCGCTCGACCTCGGCACGCATCATGCCATACGCATTATCATTGCGTCTGCTCTCAATGCCCCTTTGTGCTTCACGTAACCGTGTCAACGCATCGTCCTTTTCAGATACCATATCGTCGTAATTTGTTTGTAGCGTCCTGTGGTCTTCAAGAAGAGCCTGGTAGACCTTCTCTACAGTCTCCTTCTCTGAAAGGATCTGGCTCCTTTCAGACTGTATGAGGTAGTAATGGTCGTCTCTGGAGATCCCATCAGTGACTAAAGCCCATTCTTCACAACTAACGACTGACTCTGTCATGCTGGCTTCTCCAAAACTGATATCCCCTTGCGAATCACTGATTTTGCTCATCACCTACATACACGCACGCATCAATAATGGTGAATACTCCACGCGTGCAATCAGCATACCTGCTCAATAGCCTTCATCAAAAAATGCTGGTCCCCCTCACTCAACTGCTGGATTCGGGCAATGATCTCCTTGTTCTGCTCGCACTGCACCGCGATCGCGATCGTGATCCGACACATGATGAGCGTCTCCCCGACATCGCGGTCCTTTGCAATCGCCTGCAAGTTCGGAACTTCGAGACCGCTGGTAGGTTTCTGCAAGACTTCAGCAAAGTACTGCGTAAGGAGGCGATAGAGACGCTTTAGTGCGCTGAACCGGAGAACCCAATTATCGGAGAGCTGTGTGGAGGACCTGCTAGACTGCCTGAAGTACTCTGCATCTCTGACGGCGAGTTTAGTTTCTTCTTGCAATTAATTACAGATGGATGGATGACGTGAGACATACACTAGAGCGAGAACATCGAAGAGTGCGGCCCCATCGCTGAGGTCGGCGACGGTGGTGACTGGCCGGGCTAGGTTGAATGTTGCGAAAAAAGAGATGAAAGCGTTGATCTCTCTTCTCTCCTGCTCGGACATGGCTGTCAGGATTGCGAGCCGGTGGTTAATGCTCTCCTTAGGAATTAATTATGAACGATTTTCATTGGCTGATTATAACTACTTGGGCACCACATACCGCTCGGACTTTAAATTGACAAGCGCTCCGAGTCAGCCCAGGCTCAGCCAATAGAAATTGTGGCCTCAGGGGTTGTTGTCTTCGCCCACACCCGTTATGCCTTTGGGCTTCTTAGTGGTGCAGTACTGCAGTAGACTATTCCCTCTAACTAGTGACGCGAAAGTGTACGTTCTCACGTTACTATGTAGTAGTTGTCACTCAGATCTTGCCTTGCATTCTTACATTCTGTTAGACACAAATAGCCATGCAAGCTCCACCAGGACGAGAAACCATGCAACAGCACGACGCCGTTGTAAACTGTGCGACGGTACTTACACGATATGAATGTCTGTGCACCTCAACGTCATGAGTCAATGAATAGTGAATTATTGCCATAGATGTACGCTACATACGAGCCGCTGTAGCCTCTTAACCCCTGTATAATTTCGAAAACCAAAGTGTCGAGCAGAATAGCGCCACTGCAAAGAGATAAAATATTCTTCCTTCCTTCATAGGATCGCCATTTGCAAGGAAATTGCGCAGCGGAAGAAAGATAAGACCAACGACGAAATTGCTCGACCCTTGAAAATTGAAGTAGGAGACGGACTTTCGAGGGCACAAATGAATACTTACAGTTCAGCGACAAACCCACTGATGAAATGGCGGACACAGCCTGCATGGGGTCAGTGAAGGAGCTATGCACTTCGTGGAATAACTGACATGGGGTGGTGCCACCTCGGGGATGATGACAAACGGAATAGGACCTAATCCGAAGGCAAACGACCTTCAAGATAACATAAGTTGCGGAGAAGAATTAGATATAAGCCACGTACATGACAAAAGTGGTGATTGCGATACTGGACAAAGTCACGAGACCGCTATTCAGCCCATAGCCAACAGCCAGATGAGATAGAAGAGCGGCAGCAACTGATAATTGGATTAGTTGTTTCCTGCCCACTCGCTAGGTACCTGTTAAGTTGCTGCAGATACTTGAGCATGACTAAACTCGCCTCAATAAGGAAGATCGGCGGAAAAGTCATGAAAAAGTTGACAATTGTGATTACCAGCGAAACATATGATGCTAGTTCGGGAAGGGATTTAGAGAGTATATCGTTACTGTAGTACAAGACTTTGGTACATTGAGAGATGTTATATTGTGCAAGTGAGTGTTCTGCTTACCTGCGTTAATTCCTGATATTTGTTGGGATGTCATAGCGGCAATAATTGTCAATAGAGGCCGGCGAAGTTCAGTAGAGGCAAACACTTGAGGAATAGTCATTGCAGGTTGGCGGACAGCTGAGGGGCTTTCTGTGGCGCTATCACTGTCTGGTAACAGAGGTTCCTCGCTGTCTTGTTCTTCAGCTAAAGATACGATTAAAAAATTGACTCGGTAAGTTAGTATCTGCTCACGATCTATACGCGAAGCATCATGGATTTCGCCCCACAATCTGTGAATCGCTAACTTTTCTTGATCTACCAGTCCCTTTCGGTTAAGATACGAAGGGGACTCTACGACAAACGGGCTGCTGAAATACTGGAAAATGGATATCCCCGATGAGATGAGCAGTACAAAACGCCATTGTCGGGGAGTAGCAAGACCGAAGCCCATTCCTTGGGTGACCATTATACCGATGACTATAGCCAACTGTGTTAGAACGCCTAACGAGACAGTCGATCAATATTACTGCTCATTCATGAACTAAGAAACAGCACGAACCCAAGTTTCCCTTGATTTTGACTGGTGCTATCTCAGACAGGTATATTGGACAAAGACAAATGCCTAGGCCAGCTGCGAGACCAACAAGAAATCTGTGGGTGTGGGAGATTGTAGCGAATATTGCTAGTATGAAGCACATACCTGCCAAGGATCAGTGGACCTACGGAAGAAGACAGTCCAAATACGGCTGAACCAACAGCTGTGAGCACAGCGCTGAGACGAGAAGCACCTTTCCGCCCATAACGGTCCATAACAATGTTAGCACTCAAACTGCCAAAGAAGCCTCCCATGGTATACATGGATGTCACTACAGAGAATGTTGCATCGGACATGGGGATACACGTGGGTAGACCATAGTACATTGGGGTAGTTGCATCAGCGATTTTGCACGTCAGGACAGCTTGTAGCTGATTCAGAGCGGACGTGTGATAACCATACTTGTACAAAGACGTGAGCAGGGCATAGACTTGAATAGGGAACAATATTGGGTAAATACCTGGAACGAAACAGTGAGGACCCATAGACATACGAGCCAGCCGTACTTGGTAAATGTATGAGCGCCCTCAGATGTCATCTGAAACTTATGAAGACAGTAGTACAACTGCCAATGCGGACAACCGCTGCGTGGCCCGGGCAGCTGTCTCGAGGTTTCTCACGTATCACTGACATAATGTACTAAAACGTTAAAGTCACGTTTATCGTTATGCCTCCCCGTCCGGCGTGTACTAGTAGCGGCAATTCCGGCAGAGAGCGGCAGTAAAGCTGATGGCCAACAACGGCACGTCGGACATTGAAAATAAAAGGTACACCAGCAGGTATTGATACTACTCTACTTAAAATTTACTGACAGAAGCCGTCCACATCCAGGCTGCAAACAGTAACTGTTGGAATGCGGCAACTGAGATGCGATGTTCATACGAATGAGTGTACACTATGTAGCTATGTATAGTTTCTGAATTTCTGCCTTGGCTTACATACAATCCCTAATCGGCACAATACACGTGATGCGAGGTGCGAACTACCCGTGACTGTAAAGTTCATGCCTAAGGCTAGGTGTACACTACTACCTAGCACCCACCCGCTGTTTGACACTAGGCTTAAAGCCATTTCTTTCATATATATGCTACGGTAATGAGCTTGTCGAGAAGCCGCGCCGCCCGTTCCTGTTACGAACATCCAGCAAGCCCAGTCACACACTTAATGCACCCGATGCACTCAAGTATCATTGTGCACCCAGCGCCATCTATTCCCATGATCTCTTCTGGTATCGCGCCTTCTCCAACAATGTCTTACTATCCAATGTCACCCAGTCTTTCCGCCTGCGCAACGGATCATGACACCTCGAGTTTCTACCCACCCTCCTAGCGTGACTCGTGAGTGCCGCATCCATTCTAGTATCCTGTTGCACCTTTGCCACCGCATTGTTCACAAAATGTATCTATGTCCTATGATATGAATTCTACATGTTTCGTTTACTTCTATCTACTCCTGAACTCGGAACGTGCCTGCGACTTGGTGAGAATAACGCCGCACGGCGCACCGTGAGTTGGTGAAATTTTACTTACATAAACCAAATTAGGAAGCCACCCCAATGAGGTATCATCGCTTAAGGTTTGAGGCTGAAACTAACCAACTGATGGTTTCAAACTTTCAGTGACCTTTTCGGCGTGGACTAGGCGAGTCCATCGAGGTCACTAGCACTTCTAGGCATCGCTACATCTCTAGTAATGTTGCAAAGCATCGTGCACTCAGGCTCGAAGTGCGGTAAGTATGTAACGTCTGTGACAGATGTTGTTTCACTGACATGAACTAAATTTTAGCCTAGTGACGTTACGACTTTAATGCCATCATAATATTGATGCTGCTACCCCCGCTCGTTCTGATGGACTGAGCTGCTGCATTGCGTGGAGAAGGTATGCATTATTATGTACGTAGTCAAGCTCAAGCTTTGGATTACCTCCGGAGGGCCACATGATCCATTCTGATCATTCTTGTCGGTCATTTACCTCCACATGATGGTGATTCGGTACCTTCACGGTTCCCAATTCGGGCAAGCCGCACTACTAAAATTTGATCAGAACGTTTGTATGCCACTTTCCTCTTCCGCCTTGCCAACATAGCTGTGTCCTACACGTTCAGCCCGACCTTCACTCTTTCTGCCTCGAGCCTCGCTGGCTTCTACGCTCCTTATAACTCACGCTCGTTTTGTTTCGTATCATGTCACACACTGCATTTCTCGCAGCTGCTATTCTCGCATTTGCATTTCCTTATGTTTATGCCGCCACTTCCGATCAATGGCGAGGTCGATCGATTTATCAGTGCGTGTATCTAGCCATTTCACCAAGTATCTGATCGATTAATTTCTGTAGAGTCATCATCGACAGATATGCATTGCCCGAAGGTGCTGACCCTAACCAATGCCCATCGGGGACCCGTACGTGGTGTGGTGGGACCTGGAATTCGTAAGCACCGCGAGCGCTCATTTTTACTTTATCCTGACTTCCCACAGTCTTCGCCAGAATCTAGACTACATTCAAGACGCAGGTTTCACCGCAGGTACGTGCAACTTCACTCGTAGTCATTAAGATGTCTGACTTGATATTTCAGTCTGGATAAGTCCTGTTTCCCAAAACTATGAGGGTCCGACTACGCCATATGGAGACCCCTACCACGGATACTGGCTTGCGGATGCTTCTCAACTCAACTCTCGGTTTGGCACGTCTGACGATCTCAAGGGTCTTTCAGAGGAACTGCATCGTCGCGGAATGTGAGTGCATTCACAGACCAAAAATCACATTGTTGAATCTTTCAAGGTACTTGATGATTGATGTCGTTGTTAACGATGTCATGGCGACTTCGATAACCCCCGATTTATCTACATATATGTTCAAAGAACAGGTAAAATTACTCTTCCGTGTGCTTCATACATTCAATTGCTGAGTCATTCATATGTAGTCGCAATACCATCCATATTGTGCCATAGATTGGAGCAACACCACTAGCGAGGAACAATGCTGGTTAGGCGACACCGTCGTTCCTCTTCCTGACCTCAACACGGAAGACCCAACTGTTGTTGCCGGGTTCGGTGACTGGATTCAGTCCTTGGTTAAGGAATACAATATTGATGGACTCCGGATTGATGGTAAGTGTGTTCAAACAGTTTTATGATCATAATATAATGAAGACTTTACCAGCTGCGAAGTAAGGTTTCCCTCCATCCCCCCCACTCACACTAACTGAGGTGTAGACATGTCAATATCGACTTCTGGCCCGTATTTTGTGGCAAAGCCGGTGTATTTTGCATAGGAGAAGTCTTTGGTTCAGATATCGAGTAAGGTCTCACCGGTCTATCCTGCGCTGTTTAACACAAATTTGTATTGCAGCGACGCTGCTCTCTACCAAGGATCCAATGCCCTTGACTCAATTCTGAACTATCCCATGTACACCGCACTCCTTGATGCGTTCACCCTTCCTGGGCCACAGAATATGAGTGCTGTTGCAGATATGATTGGGCAGGAGGCAGCGAAGTTCAAGGTATGTGGTCCACATCTTTCTGTGAATGCACTCCAATGGTTGTAGGACCCCACACTTCTCGGGAACTTTATTGAAAATCAGGACATTCCTCGCTGGGCGAATATCTCTGTCGATCCACAAAGTTTATAGTAAGCTCTTTCCTATATTGTATCCTGCAGATCCTAACTCAAAATAGCAACGCCATGGTGTTCAACTTTATGACTGATGGGTAAATTGCATCACCGTGTTTGCTAACAAATCGCTGACATGTGAGAAGCATACCCATTGTGTATTATGGTCAAGAACAGGGCTTCAGCGGGAATAGCGATCCTGTGAGTTTGACCTTGCTGTTTCATTTCGATGCGCCTTAACATTGCCGCAGTATAATCGCGAAGCAATGTGGCCTTCGAAATATGCCAACACTACAACATACCAACTCATAACCACATTGAATCAGGTATGCCATAGTTTGAATTTGAGGGCCTAATGTTAACCATTGCGTCTCACAGTTCCGCAATTTCTTGGTGAATAACACCCAATGGGCAACCACGCCGACGCAGGTGCTCACGACATCACCATACGGCATTGCAACCTTGAAAGGGGATTGTGTCTCCATCATGACCAATATCGGATCTCCCGTAAGTCCATGTGAACCTTGCGAACTTTTATCCCCGCATCTTCGATTTTTTCTGATCTTACCATACCCTATTATTAGCCTCAAAACATCAGTATTCCCGTGTATACCCCGTACCTTGCAAGCGCGTCACTAACCAAGTCAGCTGCTTCTCAAATTTAACTTGGACATCAGAACTCACATCCTGTTATAGTGTATTGACTTGTGAACAGTGGCCAGTAGGCAGCAATGGCACCATCAACGCACAATATAGTTTAGGAGGCGTGCCTCTTGTTCTCTATCCCACTACTCTTCTGCAGGATTCTGGTTTGTGCGGGAACTCGGACACCGCGACAGGTTCGGCCACATACGTATCCTCGGCCCTGCGCATCCATCGTCCTGTCATATCTCTTTTAGCTGTGTTGTCTTCTTTGTTGTTGGGCTTTTTGTCTTCTTTTTGGTGATGTTTAGGGACGCTAATGGATAAATTTTCATATCGACTGAAGTTCCTCGCATCCTCGACTACTCTTGGAAGCTGTCGGGTGTGACTCAGCAGGCATCGACGATGTCAGGTAAGTTGAGTTGACTGGTATGTGGTTTGCAACATATCATATTCATTGAAGCGAGTGGACCATGATTAAAATCGAAACGTGCAGGTATCCCGGGGTGAAGTGCGCTGTTGATGTTCTATTCATGTTTCCAAACGGTAAGTATGAATTAATGTGGCCAAGTGGTATGGGGTACAGCACACAAGCTGGACAATTCGATCTCGCTATTGGCCTGCTGTAAGTAGGTCAGACCGCACGGGCTCAACCGTTACACCAGAAGGTAGAATACTTTAGTGACGGTATATGCTACTCGGGTAAGCCAGTATGGATATGCACCCTGAGCCCATCTGGTGTGATGCAGAGATTTCATGAAACGCAGTGCCTGCCGATTCAGGAGTCCACTCGTATTACCACCTATGTACTAGCACCTTTTTCGATAACAGGAATCGTTTGAATTACCCAGGCCGTCGAGCACAAGCTCTGGGCTGTTCTGAGATGTGGTGACCGACCTTGACAATAGCGGTCGAAATGCCGGAATGCCGTATTTGTTTGAAACCGAAGCTATCGCCAAACAAGACACACGATCTGTCCATTTGCGGCAATCAAGGTTGAACTTTACGTCGGCTAGGAGCAAACTATCAGGACTCGGAGTCCACGAAGCTGTCATCAATTCCCTCGATCGAACTCATCAAGCTAGCTAAGTCTGAGTGGAGGCTGTGCCCATTTGTATACATATCTTACTCCTGAAGGAGTATGCTGCTATCTGTGAGTACTAGTGCTGCTGTGTCCAGTTACATTTCAGTACGGTGATCAAAGATATCTGAGCTTCAAGCGGGCTAGATATCTTAGAGTCTCGCCTTCCACATCGACCACGTTTGAGGACCACAGATCTGACGGTTTAAATTGAAATTTCAGGTTGTTTGTTTTCCACATCACTCCTTGGACCTCTCCTTAGCATCAGCATCAAGCTTGTCGACAAGATGTTCATCAATAGCACCCTCAAGCACAAACTCACTTTTCGGCGCAAGAGCGAGGGCTCTGCTTCCAGAGTCGAATTACCTGCGGATACAAAGCCTGTGATCGAGCCCAACTCGCCGACCGCAACATCTTCTCCTTCATCTTCGAAGGCTCACAAATTTCGCATTTTCTCCACTCTCACGCACATCAAAAAGATGTCTCTGGCTAGCGTCTTCAAGAAAGGCCCTGTTAGTTCTCTTCTCAGCGTTATGCGCTACAATCGACTTACTTGTTTTTAGTCGGTCCAAATACCTCCCACAGCGCTACATTGTACAACTTCTGCCGTTCCAGATATATCAAGACATGTCCTAGCTGTTTCTGAAGATGGCGTCTTACATCCCACGATGCCCTTGGAAACAAAACATTGGGAGGGCGGTACAGAATTTGGGCTTATATCTTCCGCTATGGACAGATCCTCAGATCAGGAGGATATAAATCCCAATCCTCCTGGTAGTCGCATAGCAGATCGCGTGACCAGTTTGCGAATGAGAACTGCTGCAGTTTGGGCTAGCATTCCGGCCACCGTGGAAGGACTACCAGCTTCATGCACATCTAGTGAAACGTCTACTCCAGTCAAATCCCAGATGAATTCCTTGGAGCACTATGAGACTACAACTGTCGCGTCTGCAACGGTGGACAGCCCATCGTTTTCGTCACCTGCTACTTCTGTCACGGCAGTGTCAGATTGGGGTCCGCGGGACTCTTTGGCCAATCTCAGCATGACAGGCTACAAACAAGAGCGGATACGCGTAATGCCAAAAGTATGTTTCACGTTCTTGGGTTAATATCGAGGCTTATGACATTGTGAAGGTCTTACCTGCGTTGGATGTCGTCTCCCTTGCACAGCTGCCAGAGCTGGGTTTGGCATATGCCAAACCTCCGTCTGAATGTCGGACGCCCAATGGGGACAAACTTGACTATACCCCCAGTACTCCTACATCTGGTTGGGAGTCATCCCCTGAGATACCAAGTAGCTCATCAGGACAGCGCGCAAGTTCGCGAGCAGCTGGACACCTGGACTCACCTTCTCCGAGCCCTCGAATGGCTCGTACTATACCAAGCACTGCCGGCTACCCCAACACTGCCAAGGAGCGATCCTTCCATTGGTTGCCAGTCGTGCAACTTTTCACGAATTCGGACGAAGACCTCGCAACGTCCAGCATCCGAGGCTCTCTTACCAATCTGTTCCAGGGACCGCTCGCAGCGGAGATGCCCCTTCACCCATGGTCGTGCGCAAAGATAGCTCGTGCTGAAACCAAGCGAGCGTCTCGTAAGAAACAATCGGACAAGAAGGGCTTCTTTACTCGCATATCTCGCTTTTTGGAGGCTGGTCCTCAAGACAGTATTCCTGTCTCATCCAAAAGGTATGCCTCTACAATGTGCTCTTCCGCTTTGGAATTCATGCTGATAACTCGCACAGGTAGCATCACTTACTCAGGACTGCATAAGAATTTCCCTCTATCACTGTTGCTTGTGTTTTTTTATTCTCATCGTCATCCCATGGTATCACCTTTCATCTATGCGCTCTGGAGCACATTATCAGCCTAGTTTATGATACATCGCACACATCCATTTCTATCCATCGCATACGTCACGTTCTCTCGCTCTCGTTCTCGAGTTATCCGCTTTTTCATTGCAATTGGACCATAGGAAGTCGTGTTATCTGTCTACTTCCAGCTCTGGTACACGGTACAAGATTACATTACCCCGGATCTGCAATTATCGGCTTTCACATGTTCAGGCTGCAGTGCAAACGTGAATTTCAGTGATTGAGGCTGTGCCGCGGGGTTTATATTACACCACGTCGCTCCGGATCCGACTCCACCTCTTGACCAGAACATGTCTTCCGGAACTACTGCACAAGCAAGTCCACCATGAAGTATGTGAATCAGGCATTTGACATTCATGAATATAGGACCCTACATGGAGATCGAGGGAACAAGGTGAAGAAGCAAAATACATTCACGAGAAGGCGAGGCTTCCCAAGGGGTTACTGCATCAACCATGGCAAGCATTACTTACCGGCTTTCTATACACAGGAGCAAGCTCAGCTCGCTGCTCTCCATGAGGAGCAGGGAAAGCGCTCCACTACATCTAATGACAATACCACAAACGATGCCGCATCATCCACCAAGGAGCGTGATTTTGAAGGTGGCTTTGGTGGCCAAGAGGATTTGGAAGATCGGTACGCAACAACTAGCGGAGAGCACTAGCTTGGGCCTAGCATTACAGGCGTCGTTGAACAAGCATAATTAAGCGTATCAGAAGTACGAGCAACATGAGACACGACGATAGATGAAAGAAACTGATAGCTATATATACTAGGATGTTATATAAATGGATGTCGGTGTATGTCCTATGTATGCCCGCAGAATATGTAATGGGTCCGTCACACGTGTAGGTAGGATTGAAAGATAGTAATACTGTCAAAAGAAGGGAAGATACTATATAAGTTGTTGAAGTTCAATTTGAGTATAACACAAGGTTCAACAAGTCAACTGATGAATCTATCGTCCTACCGTCCTCCAGATCAAGTAGCCCAGGAAATTCCAATATTAGTATTAGTGGTCCAGTCAAATTCACAAGGAGAAAGGTTGTGTTGTCCCAAAGTTAACGAGCGGCGTTATGATTGATGACGAGGGACGGGGGTGATGAGCGGAGCAGGAACCGCTCGAGCGGCAGCTCCACTGCTACAAAGGGGTGAAGGTGGTGCGGCGGTCCCAACCCATGGATTGAGATAGCTGCACGATGCAATGCCAACCATTCCACTTGCAGTGTCGGAGGGATTCTCCCAGCCATTCCCAGCACTGGCGGTTTTAACAGCATGAGCAGAAGAGTACGTGAATGTAGGAGGGGGAAGGGTTGCCACAGTTCCCGTGGGGGTATAGGAAGGCAACAAGGAGACAGCACCGGCATTACTGATCTGAGCAGGCGGCCAGCTGTACGATGAAGTAACGGCCGCAGCAATCTGACCTGCACCTGCACCCCCTGTTTGCCATGCTTGGAGAGGAGGACTCCATATACCTTGATTTGCGCAAGTTCCTGATGCAACGCGAGGGTCTGCGGGCATCCACCCATTCTGCAGACCAAGCTGGTACGACCATTGCGGTGACTCAACGACACCAGAAGTAGAAGAGTTTCCGATTTTCCATGTCCAGAAGAACCAGTTCTATAGACATTAGTTCATATGGAACCACGACTTCTAAAGAGAATCGCTTACCTGCAAAGCATCCATGCTGGCCAAGGCGAATTGCTCGATGCTTGATTTCATGGTCGAGTTCCAACTCTGCCAGTCCGTCCATGGCGTGCAGCTCCCCATGACAGGCCAGGTTCCTGGAGTATATGTACCCTCGTAACGTGTTCCAAGTCCCACACCGTTCAGATAAAGACCGCAGTCAGTAACAGCATTACTGAATTCTCCGGCAGCTGTGAACCCGAATGCGTTCATGGAGGTATTCATCGTGGCACCCCAGGCAGAGCATGGAGTCTGAGCGTAAGATGACATAGGGGCAGAAGACTGGGTCTCAAAGCACATATAAGGATGATTATCGAGAGCAGCGCGGTCAGCATTCGGGAGCCAGCCAGCCCATTGAGGAAGACCGAGGAATCCATCGTGGTAGGAAATGAAGGGACCATTGCCTGCCCCAATGCCCGAAGCCTCGCGGACGTTATTGTATGCCTGCATATAGCTGCAGTGCAAATTATGTTACCGTTACCGAGTGTGGTGGTCCACAATCACTAATACACTTACTATCGAGAGAGAGCATCCTGGCCGATCGGGGTTCCTTGGGGCTCATTTGTAATGCCGAAAATGGTAACAACATTCTGGTACTCAGGCTGAGAGATGAACTCTGCGAGGATCCGAATATAATCTAGTGACCGCTGGGCATTTGCGATACCCATCGGGCCGTAAAGAACGTTTATTGACCCGAACTTGCCGGAGTGATTCCACCCATTCTGGCTTCCAGGAAGGGCATGGAAGTCGAGGTTAATGCGAATACCATACTTACGAGCCCACTGAATGGCCTTTAAGAAATATCTAAAACTTGCTTCAGCAGGGTAACGGGATTGGAAGGATGATGCGGACATACGTCCACGAGGTCTTGGGGAGGAACGGTTCGCCTGATCGTACCTCGATCGCCCAGTATGGAAGAGGAATGCGAACGAAATTCAGTCCTGCTCCAGCAATTTCGGCAAAATCTTGTTCGGTCTGGTAACCGATTAACATCTTCAGTTCCTTCACTTGCAACATGAAGAAAAACTTACAATGAACGTTTGATAATGCGTTTCTAGTTGCGACAAACCGCCGCCTGGTGATGTATCAGCGGCCATAGCTTCGCTCAGCGTCCACTCATCAATAGCTGTAGGGTATTTCTGGTAAAGAGCGGGTGCGCTAAGATAAATATAAGTAAGGTTCATGGTTCTCGGAAGCGAAGATAGACTTGCATAAACTAGTACGAAACATCAGTACAGTGTATTAGTCAAACTGAGACTAACTCACGGGTTCTGTAGTAAGCCAACCACCCAAATTGACGCTATAAACAACAATGTGTCATTGTAGGTACAGGGAATGGCAGAGAAAAGCATACCCAAAAATCTTATCAATGCCGAACCTGAAGGTCTGGTTGAGGGGAAGGGTCCACGACTGAGCCTGAGCATTATTGTTGAATGGATTTTGAGGATCCCAATACCAGGTACCACCAAAAGGGTTCAAGTACGTGAAGGTAGTACCATCCTCCATTGTGATGGTGCTGCCATTGCCACCAGTGACAACATCGGAGGCAGGTTGACCGGATGAAGAAGTTGAGGTGGAGGTGGGACTGCTGGGAGAGCCAGAGCTATTATTCGACGATGATTTTGGCTTTAGCACGACGAGATATATAGGGACAACGATAGCAACGAGTACTATGACAGCTGCGAGAATTGAGCCAGCTATGATAAGTCCACGCTTTGATTTTACGCGTGGGATTGCGTATGCTGACCGCTTCTCAGCAAGGTAACGAGGAGAGTTGGAATTCCCACCCTGACCAGAGCCAGAGTTGTACTCAGGGTCATTGGGATCATCATGGTAGGCAGCAGACTGTTCTGCCTGAGGAGTATCATTATTCAAGGCGTAGACAGAGGAAGTAACGACAGAAGGAGCTGTTCTGAAGGTATTTTGGGTATTTTGTGACGCGAAGGAATCTCGATATCCATTGGAAGGATCGTCGTACAAAGCTGCGCCAAGAAAGCGTGGTTGGGCTGCACCCGGGGGTGGGGTGTCAGCAAAATAAGACATTTCAATAGGAGGAGTGTCGAAACCGGAGGCATGGGGAGAGGAAAGATCGCTGTAAATAGAATCCCTAGGTGGATCTTGAGTCAAGGGTAAAGGATCGTAAGGAATATCTTGAGAGTGTGCGTTATTATTGGGATACATGGTATCTGGAGGAGGGGAAACGATGATTTCAGGCTGCGGGTCCTGGCTGGCCATGGATGGAAGAGAAGGTTAGTTCGGCATAACAGAAATGAAGAAGAACTTTATGTAAATGGCTGCGCTCAACGGCCTCATGGGATACGAATCTGATCGTCCAGTAGAAAATAGACTTACCGACTAGGGATAGTGGCAGTGACTAAGACACAAGTCTAGTGAACGCCAGTTACACAGCAGGGATAGCTAAACGAGAGAGCTGGGATGTAATGGTGGGTTTAGAAGAAGAACAAATACTCGGCCGAACCGAGAACGTTCTCAGTCCGAATTTTGACACTGCCTCCGAGTCTTACGAAACTGTCGAACTGTCGTGTTTAAATTAGTACCTGTCGTGAGGGCCGGGCTGGTTCAGAATTCGATGAACAGTATTATGGCAAGTTCGTTCAAAAATACCATCCAGTTACAGTCAAGACGCCCGCTATTACAAGCTAGCCTATCTGAGATTCGAGAATTTCGAACCAGACCAACTCAAGAAGAAAGAGTCTGGGACGACGAAGGAGGTATCAAAGTGTGTGACCTTGCCACCAATTCGTTTTATATTGCGATTCCCCATAACTATATTCGAAGCCATCGAATTTGCAACTTCCCTTGGTGAACCCATTGAAACCTATTTTCCTTCTATGGCAGGGCAAACCTACCCTGAATCAACTGGCCCTGGCTATAACACACTGACTTGTATCCACTCGTGAACGTCTCCACCTGCGCGCGCAAGTGTCAACCCCGGCATCTGCGGGGTCAGACGTCAAGGGACAAAACGCCACCTCCTATATATCCAGCAAGGCACAAATTTACTCTTCAAATTCAGGCGATATCGTCTCTCACCCGCAAACTCCTGCTACTTCTAGCTTTCCTTTCATGTATATCAATGCAACTGATTGATATCGATGTTCATTCCGTCTATGATTGCATTGTACATAATAAAAAGGTGCGCGATGTTCAGCCTTGGCAGTCCGCCAATGTCATGTCTTTATGTAATCTGTTATCAACAACAGATCAGCGCTCAGCCCGACAGCCCTTCAAGCTCCCAAACCTTGCCAGTCGCCACCCTCAACTCACATAGCCATAGCAGGTGTGATTCCAATCGTCGTTGATGCGCCCTCCTCCTGAGTGAGTTTGCTTATGTACACTGACCACTTTCACGGAGTTGCCCAAAACCGGGTATGATGAAAAATGCATGTTGGTGCAGCTTATGGAATCAACACACTGCGAATACTTAGGATCACGACAATCTATGATAGGGTAACTCTTTTCGAATGTCACCGGTGTCACCTGTGAGATCCTATGACTTACATGCGCCCGGGCAGGCAGCCTTTGGGTTCCGGTCTAAACTTATGCTCGGCAGACGTCACCTCATGTACTCTATAATAGCTGCGCACTTGCAAGACCCGGTACCCACTTACGTGAGAGCTCGGACGTGTTGCAAGACTTTTAATGGTTTCACATATGACATCGGTTCTCTTGATTTATTTTTTCGACAAGAACATTGCAATCACCTGATCCACCAAACAATTCGGTTCCGATCGCAGCTTCCCAGCTAAGCCTATCCGCAAATCACACAGATATTTGTGTCTTCGAGTTCGCCGTGATTTCGGGTTGCTAAACTTAGCTATTGCAAGGACGGCATACTACATAGCCAACGGAAGCCGTTCGGATTGCAATCACTTGTTTTATGATGCTTATTGTCTGATCCGATCTCGCATCGATCGTGCGCAATATGTCCAGTACTGTATCAGCATCTGACGCTTTAGCCCAAACTATTCATGCACACAACAAGCGGTTGCTACGAGGAAGAGGAAACAAAGTTTTTTGATCGCTTTCTATACTTAGCCAACTAGAGCGGCCAAACGGTATTCTCGACTCCCGGCGTGGGTGTGTGCACGTGGTAACACTCTCAGAGCTACCCCGTGCACGGCGCATGGCGATTTTCACACCGACTGACTGGTAGTCTGGTACGTGCACACACAAGTACTGTCGACCGGCCCAGAAACGAGTCAAGCCAATGTGCTCATGACATGAGGAAAGGATCGACTGAGAAGGAACCACGGAATGCGAATCTGCAGTGCGAAAGACGAAGGGAGTAGGGAGAGGTCTAAACTATATGACGCAGGCTCGATATACTTGCGTCAAGGTCTGTAGCATCATATGGTGATTATCTGCTCGATCAACTCAACCTACAGCAAGACGCTCCACCGACCACGAGCAGGTTTCAAAGTTATATCATGGTTCAACATTCAATATTCAATATTCATGACTCATCTTTTTTTCTTGTCTAGGATACCCCCCGCTATTTTATCGCATATCCACTCCACCGCACCAAATTCACTCGTCTGTCACTTTCGCTGCTCTCGTCCTTCTCCAGCAATTAAAGGAACACTTTCGTACCGCTCGAGGATCTTTGGGTCACCGATTTTTGTGTCCACCCAGATCTATTTTACACCGATTGGAGCGGTCTCTGTGGTCGTATGCGGCTGTGGCCGCGACACCCGAAGGTGATGTACTGGTTGGTATCCAACCAGTACAATGTAACAAGCCAGAGTCTACATATGAGGAGAACTGTTCATGACATTTTAAATTGACAATTGGATATATTCGTACATGAATACATTGTAGTTAACGCGACATCCGAAGATCAACTGCCAAGTCAGCAACGAGAGTGGTAATGAAAACAGTAACGAAGGAGAGACATCGGCGAGGGAAAGACTGGGAAAGACAATGACAAAGGGAACACGAGCAATGCACAATTGGACATGGTAACGAGGGGCAGACCCGGGGGAAGAAAGACAACCTGAATGATCATCCGGGGGCGGTGAGTTGTATTCTATGTAAATTCGAGGCATGAGAACCAATTGCCAATTGTGTAGAATGCGCGAGGTCTATGTGGCGAAACAGTTTCTCGACTTTCTTACTTGCAAATCCTCTACTGCTCAACTACACTTGACAGGCTCTCGTTTCGTCACAACCGCATTCCGCTCCCTCATAGCAGCCGGCGTCTCGTTTCATTCCATTAAAGTCTTCGTTTTGTTGCTGGTAAATGAACTCGACGCATCCGAATCATTTTCGGCCTTGATTCTGCATCGCGAGTTGCTGTGAATCATCCTGAACTTTCTCCACAGGTTCGAAACGATCTTTCAGGTCGCAAAACCCTTCGGATTTGAGCCCAAATTTTAGTCTCACCACCATACCATGTTGCTAATATTTGTACAAATCAGATATCATTGCTAAGCGCTAATCGATGGATACACATGGAGGAATATATGTGTGGTGATGTTAGTAAGTGGAACCGAACATCTAGGGAAGAGTCTGGGGTGTGCGCGTGAATGACGCGATGGTGCCGGAACCGAGGAAGGTCCGACTCGGAGTGGTGACAGGCTCTCGCCACGTACATAGCGCCGTTGGACGCCCCGCAGCCAACGTAACGCTCCCTAAAGGACTGGCATCAGTTCTCAGCTGATGCCGCCGGCCAGCGCATACTGCCCATGTTCATACTATTCTCCGTATCTCAGCAAACCCTACCCAGCGGCCGCCCACCAAGGGCATCTGTCTAAACTTACTGCAATCATTTTTTACCGAGGCTAGCGGCTAGCCTGATTCAGCCTAGTGTGTCTTTACTCGGCAAGTTGACGCTTTTCGCTTTGAATATTATGTCAATGGCATGATCATTGATTAGTGTATATACGTGATGCAAAAAATTGGGTCGTTCGTTCGTTCGTTCAACCTTCGCTCTGTATATCGTTGATGTACGACTGAACATCTTTGTAGCTTATGCGACCCTACATGACGTATAATCGCATCGAAGAGATGCAGCCTTTTTAAAGCCTATAGCTAGTTTAAACGGACCATGTTGGCGAGCGAAGTACGGTACTAGTACTACCACATTTGTACATTGCACAGCATTTGACTTTACGTCTACTATGTAGTACCGTCGCGAATGCCAGCTGGCAAATGTCCGGGATACACGCGTTTCAACTACGGGTCACTTGAATGGTTGTGCCAACGATCTCATTATCGGGTTTGTGTTCAAGGCTACGTTCTTCCGTCTCACGATGTGGACGCCATCTATTCAAATAAAAAATATTCAGTATGCTTCGATTTTACCTTCGGGCAAATATAAAGTGGATACGAAACTTTGTCAGGTGCCAGCGTTTTCTTTGTTGCACTCTGCGCATCTCACTCGCCGGTAAGGCATGGTGCTTGCAAGCTTACTTTTGCTCGCCCTCGGCGCGATCGTGAGTCAGACCACCCAGGTCGCCGCACTGGGATCAGCATGTGGTGTGCCTCTCACTACAGGAAACGCATTATGGGGAGAGCCTTACTGGCTTGAGAATATCCACCATCAGGGTGTGGCACCGTTTGCGCCTAATGCGACAAAATATAAAGTGTTCCGGAACGTGAAGGAATATGGAGCTGTGGGCGATGGTGTGCATGATGATACTGCTGCTATCAAGTGCGGTGTCCTTCGCATCAATGATCTTATCCTAACGCTTATGTTTTTTGTAGTGCTGCAATCTCCACCGGTAGCAGATGTGGTAACTTGACTTGCGGTTCATCAACGTAAGTCACAACTTTTCCAAGATATCTAGTGCACTCTCAGGCTCGATGGCTCGTTAGAACCACTCCGGCAGTGGTCTACTTCCCAACAGGGTGAGTATCTGTGTATAATGTCGAGTTTATTTTCTGATGCGCTTAATCAGAACCTACCTCGTGTCTGCTCCACTTCATGCATACTACTACACAGTCATGGTGGGCGACGCAAAAACACCCCCGACGTTGCTTGCCAGTGCTAACTTCACAGGAATAGCTGTAATTGGTGCGGAGCAGCCTCTTTAGTGTGATAATACCAACTAACGGCGAGATCAGACGGTGACCCGTACACAAACAATCAGAACTGGTATACCAACCAGGTTAGCTTGTACGTGTCTTTCGAATTTCATTGTATGCACGACATCGATGGCTTATTATTATGAAAGCTACCGGTCAGCGCGTAATTTCGTTATCGACCTCACACGAATGCCTGCGAATGTCTCGGCCACTGGTATTCACTGGCAAGTCTCACAGTCGACGTCGCTGGTCAACGTGGTAGTCAACATGTCTACCGAACCTGGAAACAATCACCAGGGTATGTTGTTGTTATGAATGATGGGATGTTCATTTATTCCTGTTCCTAGGCATGTATATGGAGGATGGAAGGTAAGTGAACATCGCTATATCGACAAACATAATATATGAACACTAGCAAAGTGGTGGCTTTATGGGAGATCTCGTATTCAACGGGGGAAAGTATGGTATCTGGGTCGGAAACCAACAGTAAGTGTTTGCGTCCATGTTACTCTCCGAGTCCCGTAGCATATGATACATCTGCTCACAGGTTTACCGTGCGTAATCTCACTGTCAACAATGCAAACACAGGTAAGATTTACGATGTATGTTAGTATACTTGACCCATATCACTTCCCCCAAGCTGTGTTCGGATCATGGAACTGGGGTAATATTTGATCTTTTGTTGTGAGTGCGCAATTGATGAGGTATAGGATGGACATACCAACGTGTCATAATTAACGACTGTCAAGTCGGTTTTAATCTTTCGGGTGGCGGGAATGGAGGAGAGGCCATCATTGACGCAGTGGTCACAAATACCCCTGTCTTCATCAAGACACCCAAGCCGATAAATGGCTCTGTTTCAGGATCCCTCGTATTGAATAACATCCATCTCAACAACGTTTCCACAGCTGTCATGGAAAACGGTACTGCTATCCTTACTGGTGGAACAAGGACCGTTGACTCGTGGGGCAAGGGTAACATCTATACAGGAACGCACCCGAACGGAACGTTCACACAGGGCAACATACACTCTGCACATAAGGATTCGAGCCTTTTGGACCATAATGGCTTCATCGTTAGCAAAGGACATCCCATGTATGCTGACTATTCAGCCGATCAGTTCAAGAGCGTCAGGTCATTGGGAGCCGTCGGAAATGGGATAGCGGATGACACTGAAGCTATTAAAGCTGTGCTCGCAAAGGTATCTTTACACGATAGTCTGACAATATTTATACTGATTGAAATTTGGGGCAGTACGCTGGATGCTACATCATATATTTCGATGCTGGCATCTATAAGGTTACTTCGACTATACAGGTTCCAGCAGGAACACGAATTGTTGGAGAGGCTTGGACCCAGATTATGGGCGCCGGCCTTAATTTCAATAATAAAGAAGACCCGAACGTTGTTGTACAAGTCGGTACACCAGGCTCGCAGGGCATTACGGAGATTACAGATATCGTGTTCACGACGCAGGGACCAGCTGCAGGCGCCATTGTCGTGGAGTGGAACGTCCGCGATCCCCCTGGTCTCCAAGGAGCTGCAGGAATGTGGGATTCTCACTTCCGGTGAGTTCCCTTTGATCTCATTTGGAGTTTTTTTCGCTGATTTGCATCTGTGACAGGCTCGGCGGAGGCAAGTTTAAACTTTTATCACAGGCGGACGTTGACTTATCATTCTTTATTTTAGCTAATGGGACCCACCTCCAAGACGCAGAGTGTTCCGCGGGATCCGTAAATCCAGAGTGTTTTGCAGCTTTCCTTGCTTTGCACATCACGTATGGTGCATCGGCTTACCTTGAGGTGCGGCGTTATGACCTTAGCAATAGTAGTTAGAGCACTGATTTCCAATTTCTTTCACCAAGGGAACATGGGTTTGGCTGGCAGATCACGATCTCGACGGCTCTCACCAACTAACCTTGTTCAGCGGGAGAGGTATTTTGTCGCACTCTCAGGGTCCTGTCTGGATGATTGGTACAGGCGAGTTTGTCCTTCTAAGCACACGACGGGTATACTGATTTCGCATAGCCTGTAAGTATCGTACTTTGGGTTTCACTCATACATTCATAGATGTTCTCTACAGCGGAACATCATGTACTCTACCAGTATAGTTTAGTCGGGGCGAAAAACCATTACATGGGTCTGATCCAGACTGAGACGGTAGGTGAATCCAAAGACGACACGAGTTTGCCTCTGATATCTCTGCATAGCCTTACTTCCAACCTGATCCTGCACCGCCAGGGCCATTCGATATCTCAAACGTTTACGATGATCCGACGTTTGCAAATGGCACAACTATGGCTTGGGGTCTCTGGGTGCAATCATCCACTGATATCATCGTGTTTGGTTCGTATTAATCATGTGCTCATATGATGCTTGCGTTTACGTGCTATGCATTTTCCCCAAAGGTTCCGGTCACTACAGTTTCTTCCAGGTGAGGCATAGCCGAAGTGAACTGGGTCGTTTCTAACCATGCCTCCCACCAGAACTACAGCACGGCATGTGGGGGTAATACTACATGTCAAACACAGATCGTCAACGTGGACTGGGCCTCTTCCATCAGCATATACAATCTGGCAACCGTGGGGACAAGATACCAGCTCAGCATCGAAGAGAACGGGATCATCTATTTTGCCAACGACTCGGAAGGCTTTTCGTCCACTGTGACGCTATGGAGCCCTGCGCGAGCTATCTACCCATAAAATTTATATCCTATAGAATCCATATACCCCTTATTTATTCTTCTTCGATCACAATTAGTGGGAGAGGTTTTTTATTGTAACACAGTCATTTCTCTACACATGCGTGCAAACTTCTTAATTGCCTCCTGTGTGATCTTTACATCCATTCTTTGTTCCAACTTCTTACATTTAGTACTGGACAGTTTATGGTCTTTGCTTTAATTACTGTAGCAAATCTGGTGATGCGTTTGTAGCTGAGTCATCAAGGCACTTGGGCACCTGTATCTACATTGGATGTGCTTGATGAGTGGTGTTTGATTTAAGGTGACTGCTTGGTGAGTGTCATTTAAGTTTGAGCATCTAGCTTTGTCTACCACATGATTGGTTGATCACCAAGGTCAGACAAACAGTAATTGGGCTAGGCTGAGCATTAGCTTGATTCAGATGCTGATGAGATTGCCACTGAATGGAAGAAAACTTGACAAGTGTAATGCATTAACAATGATAGTGAATTTAATGCATATCTTCGGGGCACATTAGTGGACTACCAATTTTGTAACAGGTGTTACAGACCACACAAGGTTTCACAAGGTGCCACATGACACCATAGGTCTTACAAAATTCACAGATACATAATCAAATATCACACCACTCATAGGCTACTAATGGGTGACTATCCGTAGGCAAAATAATGTGGAATAGATTATAACAGACTTTGAAAGATATTTGCAAAAGATAATCTGTACAGAAAACACAACCGTAACGCATCTGGATTAAAATAATTCGGTCAAAACTGCAATGGACGATCTACTACTACAGTACCACAATCTGGTGAATGATGGAGAAGAGACAGCATTTCTTGACAATGAAGAAGACGTGAGGATGTTAGCAGCTACACTCGTTGTGATGCATAAATGATTCTATATGTTCGTAGTTAGTAGAACGACCCTGTGGTGGTCACAGGAATACGTTAGACTTTAGTACACACATGAAATCAAGTCTTTAATAATAAAAAAACAGTCATGGTAGCTTGGGGAACGAGTTGTTTTCGCAAGTCTAGACTTATAGGGAGAGAATGGTGTCGGCACTGCTCACCTCGTACCCTGGCCGGTCGCAGTGGTACGTGTCAACATCATCTGCTGATAGCAATCTTAAAATTTCAGCTAAAAACTTCGCCAGGGAGCTCAGGGATGGGACTGCATATATTGGGAAATGTTTGGACCAGGTGGCGACCATCGCCATGCTGAACATGTGTCAGGCGGACCTCAAGTCATGGATTAGTCAGCAGATAGCTTAGGCGTAGTGGCCCAAAACAGATTTAATCCGTCGTTTATAATCCGGAATAATCTGTAAGGGGGGGGCCCCCCCCCCCTTCTAGATTTAGAGTTTGTAAGGGGGTCAAAAAATAATGTTTTGCAAATTCGACGCAAATGAACAGTGGCATCGCGGCACGACTTGCTTAAATGGTCTCTTTTATTCTATCTTATTTTATTCCACATTATTTCAGCCTACGGATAGTCACCCAATGCCTACAGATGATAAGGTAAACATCACATGATGTGACAACAGTGTGACAATCTCATGCAATCAGTTTGCCAGAGCGGCAACAGCATTCAGAGTTACAATCATCATAGAATTAGGGGGAGTTACAGTAGTAGATGAGCTATGTAGTGTAATAGTAGGATGTATACAGATTGGTAACATATATGGGTAGGACTATGGGACTTAGAGATAACTCAGGCAAGTTTTGAGAGCAAGGTTATTGAATGTGATAAGACTTGTATTGACTAGCATTATCTATTCTGAAGCAGGTGACAATTAGTATTTTGCTATGCAGAAGTTAGAACAAAACATGCACATTTTCTATCTGTGAGTTTCCAGCCTCAGGCTCGCTGTGACCTCCATTTTCCCTTCCCCTCTTTGCTGCACATGCAGCCACGACATTGCTGATCTGTGTGTCATGACAGCGCTTTTGTCTTCCCATGATGAGTAGTGTGGCAGTGCAATGGCTGACACTGTATTTCTGTTGGAACTTAAAGTTCATTTTCTATCCATAATCAAGCCCTACAAAACTCTTAGAATTCAAAATCAACTCACTGCTTCCACAGAACACCAATATACTCAATAGATCAATCACAGACTGGTTATTTCTATATTTTGCATAAACTAATTCTATATATTTCACCTCTGTTAAATTGTTTTTGAATATTTCAGCTTCATCACTCTAATGTAACACTTGGCATGTGATGTTTGATGATTTCGCATGACACCTACCTTACTATAGGAGTTTTGGCAAGTTGATGCATCTATTCCTCCCACACTTCTGTGGAGTTTTACATTGAGCAGGAGGGACAAAGGCTAGACAAAGGTACAAATCTCAGTATTCAGATTGAAGACTCTACTAATGAATTATGTACCTAGACAAAGGTATGACTATGTAACGTTAGACTTGTGTGTAAACGACATGAACTAATGACTTACATCCCAGTATTCGGATTGAAGACTGAGATGTTTCGATGCTTGGAATGGGGTTTATAATGTGAGTGTGCCAGGAACTTTGATATAAAAGAAAATAAACTGAAACATTGCAGGGTGCAAGCTGATGTTGACACATTGCTCACCATTACCCATTTTGGATGCGCTCACTTTCTACCTCTCCCCCTGTGCCTAAACTTTAGCCACTCACTCTCCCTCTCCTTCGGCTTCCCTTCCTTCAGCCTTCTGTCCTTCAGCTGTCTCGGATTCCAACAACTTCCTAGTGAGTAAATATTGTAAATAGCATGTTTCCATGCTCTTGCTTAAGTCAAGTTGGCTTATTTGTGAGCACCAGCAACCAGCTATGACTTAGAACATGGAGGCCATTTTGTCATATTAATGCATTAATTGAATGCTAGTTACAAGACTAATGTTATGCATTAAATATTGTAACTACCAGTGCACCAGCCTTTAATTTAATTTAAATTTAACTTTTCACTTTCCAAGACAGAATATAATCATAGCTGACACTAACTAACCCTAACTAACTGCTAACCACTAACTACTAACCTCTAACTAACCAACAAACACTCTAACATCTAACCCCCAAACTCTAACTAAAATTAATTGTAATCATTATGTAAATGTGTCATAAGTCATTACAATGATTAATGCACAACATGTGTCTTGTAATTACAATGGTAATGCATTAATATGACAGAATCAGGTGTGGGTTGATACTAAGGATGAGAATGACTCCACTGATGTCTAGCATACTATCCTTGCTATATGTCTACTTATACTTGCAAACACTATGTTTTTCCTTCATGATTCATCATATAATGTGAATATATAATGACAGACAAAAAGCACCATTAAAAAAGTGAAAATGAGTAAGATATGTGAGCTTGCTGTCTGATACAGTGCCAACAATGTTTGCTTACCATTTTGGGTTGTCATACGGTGGTGTGCAACCTAAAATAGAAGTTACCTGTCAACTCTCAACTTTGATCAAAATTTGATTGTATTGACAAAAAGGAGTCTGATGTTGTTTTATTACAAATTTTGTTCACAGAGCAAAGTATATATTATCTTCACATTTGGTCAAACTCTTTTCTGTCAACTAATACTATGTTTTTTTATGACATATCAGAGGAACAAAAGTATAGATATATGAATAACATAGGGTGATATAAATTATAAACTGTGCAGAATGTGATCAGCATGAATATATTATATCGCTTGCATTCACAGACAAAAAATTCTCAGCTTTATTCCAATGAAAAGATGATAAACATAGCATAATCACAGTCAAAATCCACTCAAAATGTAGGTCCCTGACTTATTAAAAATGCGGTTGTTATGTGGCCATGAAGAAAAATGATAACAAAAAGATGTGACAGAGTAAATATTATGTTGGATCAAAGTGTGTAGATACACTAAACAGAATTTACATGTGGGAATCCAATTCAAGCTGATATAAATTAAGGAAGATGCTGGCAAAATTTTAATTTTGGTTATTATTTTCCATTGAAACCAAGTGTGATCTGAGTTTGTCTGAGATCATGCTGGGTTCAACATTTGATGCATAGGCAAATTGGTCCATGCCTCCAGTGTCACTGCCTTCGTTGCATTGTTGACATTCGGCTGTGGGTGACTTCGTTATCCAATGGAGGTGCTTATTGAGAGGAGCATGGCCAGAACATAGTTGGAACAGGAGAGAGCTGTGCCTTTGTGGGAGGTGTTTGATGATGCTAGTGAGGTGCTTTGAGGGAAATGATGCATTGATGGCATGGATGATGTCATAGTGTGGGGAGAGCATCATGATCCTTTTGGCTTCTAGCTTGATTTTCATTTGGAAGTTTTGCAGTGTGGACGACTTGCTGGTAGGGAGGGTTATGGGGAGGTTTGTCGGTGTGAAGAAGTAATAGTGACTGGCCAGCAAGAAAGCTAGAGCACTAATAGATCCAACTGAGTGCGGGTGTGCTGTCTCGACCCAAGAGGATTGCTATGAAGCACTTCCTTCAAGTATAATGCAAAGGGAGCAAACATGGAATGGAAAAAAAACCAAGTCGACCTTGGAAAAGCGAGTCCGCGGGTCTGGTGAGTGTGCGATGCGAAATAAACGAAAGCGAGAGGATCCTAGGTAAAGAGCGGCGGGTTTCTAGGTAAAGCGCGGTTCCACAAGTAGCGGTGTGTGTGAGGAATGATAGCTAGATGAGAAGGGGTGAAAGGGGGAGAAAGGGTGAAGTGGGGTAAAACTCAAATAGACCTCTGGATGTGAGTATAGATTCAGCCCAAGGGGATTGCTACTGAGAACGATTCCTCTAAGTAAAATATGGAGGGGAAACTTGGAAGCTAGTAAGAGTAACTGAGAATGGAAGAAGCGTGCGATGTTGTGCTGATGTGACGCGAGCGCGAGTGAACCACTGAAGGTGCGATATGATACGTGACCAAACGGCCAAAAGATTGATGGAGCGCGGAGATGCGGAGAAAAGCCGAAGATTATATGAGCGCGCTTTTTAGCGCAAAACGTGAAGGTGATGCGATGTGACGGTAAAGTGGGAGGAGAGTTCTGACGATAAATGCGATGAGTGATGCATGAACGTTTAGCATGACTGTTAATACAGCGCATGATGTAGTTGGCCGAAGGTTTTAGATTTAGAGTCAGAGTGTTGTGTGCAAACAGATGATAATTTCGATAGCGGGAAAAAGAAGATACATGAAAAATCATAAGTCCTAAGTATATATGATAGCACATGTAGCGCTGTTTGGAACCGAGAAGATAACCGTAATATGTATCAAGGGTCCATAACACAAATAACGAGACATAAGCGATATCACTTTCGGAAATATAATCAGTCTAATGCGAATGAGATAAAATATGCACCAATGGACAAGCGGAGGACATGGATAGGACGGAGGAAGGATGCGCAATGGAACTGATGAAAAGCGGATGTGAACTGAAGCACGTGTGTGAGCCGCGGCCATCGGCTGATGATAGAAAAGGTGTGCACCATGGTAGTGATAGCGCGCACTGCGCTAGGACCTAAGGGACACTGCAAAAATAGCCTCTACAAGGCTGCAAGGACTCCAAGTCCTACAGCGGCTAGGTATAGATGAGGTTTATGGCCGAGGTATAACTAGGTATGAGATGCTAAGTTGGAAAACCGAGAGCAGTTCAGATCTGCACAGAGCCTAGGTAAAGAAACTTAGAGGCGCATTCTCAGAGCGGTCAAGAACATGTGGGTTCAAAGTGAGGATGAACAAAGCTTGTCAATTGAACAAAGTACTAAGAACATCTAAGGTGACTCCGCAAAACAAAGGTAGCATCCAAGGGAAGGGAAGTAGTGTACTGTATGTAGCGCGCTGTAAAGAGTTGATTCTATGTGGGCGCTACAAATATGTTACCTTAGGAACTCAATGTGCGAGTGTGATGTTCATCCCAAAGAGACTGCCGATAGAAATGCTCCTTGATATAATGCAAGGGATATCTTGTTAAGATCGAAGGTGAGAGAAGGAAAAGCTACCAAGAGTGCACTTGGTGTTCTGAGGATGTGTCCGAAGTACTGGAGTACTTGTCCGAAGTGGTCCGAAGGTGGTCCGACATCAAGAAACGAAGGTCTGAGGTTGCGCGAAGCATCCGAAGAGCTTCCGATGAACAGTGAAGGTTCCGAGAGAAGTACGGCGGGTGTGTCGAAGTATAAGACTCGCGAAGTATGACTAGGCAAAGTCTATCAAAAGAACTTAGAGACAGCAAGATGCGAAATGGCAGCGGTCAGGCCAAACAATCGTTCTGAATGAACAGAAGATTGATTGTGTGAAGTACGACTATCCGAAAGTGACTCTACTAACTATGACTTGTAGCAGGGAAGGTGAAGTGAGTTGTGAGTAGCTAGCGAGGCAGATTATATCCTACAACGTGAAAGTCCAGAATCTGCATAGGCGAAAACAGTAGCAAGATAAGCCATCCGAAATGTAATAAGACTCGAGGTGAGCCGCTACAGAGATATGCATGTAATAGCACATGAGGCGCGCAGCTATACGTATTAACCAATGATTTCGATGGGCCAACAGCATATGTGCCCCTAAGACATAATCAATAGTAGATGAACAAGTAGAAAACGCACCAGTGAAGTCAAACGGACACGGACGGGACATGGTACGGAGGATCAGAAGTGTATACAGGCCTCGGAAATGGATGGACGACCTTCGGACGATTCAGACGGATGCACGGAACTCTCGGAAGGCAAATGGAGTGTCGAGGAATATGTATGTGGGATACCTATGAGATTGGTAGGATATGAGCCCAACACCGATCCGAGTGCTACAGCGCGAGACTTTATCCTACTGCATGAGTGTCCAGAACCTGTAGGCAAGAACTGTAGCGATGAAACAAGGCAGATAAGTAATATGTAACTAGAACACACGCGGAGCGGAATACGTGGTTACATGTAATAAGCCTTGATATTGTTTAGTCAAACCGAGAGAAAATGAACACGCACCAACAGAGATAGGTGGATATGGAAAGGACATGGACGGAGGATGGTTCTGAGTGCGGGTGGATGCCAGTGGGCTGTCGGCCGAAGGAAACTTCTAGGGGAGGACTGGAATGACATAGATCTGACGAGTTTCCATAGACCTTGACATGAGTATCAAAAGACACTTGTTCCTGCCCAGCGCGGGTCCGAGCATCACATCGGTGTGCATAGCGATTTTTGGAGGCTCCTCCCTTCTGACCTGTCTCCCTTTGCCACTTTCTTTGCTCATTCATCTGCTGCTTCATTTTCCAGGATGCCCACATGGCCTGGGGCCCACCTTATCACTAGTCATCTGCTGTCCACATCAGGTAGCAGGTCATGGAGATTGTTATGGAAGATGTCCATTAGGTGATGCCCCAGCTGTGAGTTGAAGGCTAGAGTTGCTTGTATGGCTGCCTGATTGTCCACTCCCAGTGCCAATGTGTTCCCTGCTCCCACTCTTCTTATCAACTTGATCACTAAGATCATCCCCACTTTATATATCTTGCTGTCAGGATGCTCTTTGGAGCCATGCCAGCTTTCTTTTCGGTGTAAGACCAATTAAGATTGGTGTCTGAGATACTGTTTATGAGCAAATATTCAAGGCATGTTCTGAAGGACTGAGGTCCTACACTGCAGTGGCAAAGTCTCCAACTCCTGGCTCACTAAGAAAGCTCCTTTCATGCAACAAGGGCTAATCCAGGCAAATCTTAATAGACAGAAGATTATTTATAATACCAAAAGACACAACAGCACAGCTAATGGAAGCCCAACTGGTATCCAAAGCGAAGCTGGCCCTAGAGATGATGGACAAGGATGACATTCCAACCCTCAAGGACCTATCCTTTGTATCAGCATGCACACTCCCCCATGGAGGCATACTATATAAGCTAAACTCCAAGGAATCAGCAGAATTGTTCAACACACCCACAAACCACAGCAACTTTCTGGAGAGGTTCAGCACCAACATCACCATAAAGGACAGATTGTTCCTTGTTCTAATGGAAAACGTACCACTAGCATTCATCCTGGAATCAACCACAGCCATTGCAGGTTGAGGCTTGGGTGCTTAGGCTTGGGTGCAGGATGAGAAGCAAGCAGCCTCTTCGTGCACTGGACCACAATAGTCCTAGGACCATCAGCAACCTCCCCACTAGTAGTTCCATCCACCACAATGTCAGATGCACTAGCTTTTGACATGTTTTGAGATCAATGCAGATGTCCGATAGCTTATCCTGTGCATTGCCAATGCATCTCCATCTCCATCGATCATCTGTTATATCCCATGTTACGGACCTGGACCGATCATGCACTCATCTCCAGATGTCTGGATGTCTGGATCTGACCCGCTTCTTACTTCCGCTTCTTTCCCCTTTCATACATCCCTTTTTGGTTAGCCCCTTTTACTGGTCCCCCAGTTATTTACATATCTGACTGTACTCATTTATCTGGACCTTGTTTTATCTCTGACTTCATTTTATTATGTTCCATTATACTATTGATAAGCTTTCCACATGCCTCGTACATAGCCTTGCACTGTGCTGACTGATCTTCTGTTATGTTTCTGTAGTATATAAACCTTGTAAATTCTCTGTATATCCTCAGTTTGAATATCATATTGGATTCTGCTCATTCCTGCCTCCATCCGACTTGAGTTTCTCCTCTCATCATCCTCCAATAGTCTTAGGATCGATTCCTATTGACTTAACATCTCCGCCTCTACCTTTGGTAGTCTTCCGCTGTTTCTTTCTAGTCCACACAATGTCCAGATTAGCCTTCCCTCTTGTTTCCGAACGTCCACTGGAATTCCCGTGCATCAGACTTCGTCCTATAGCCTTTGGAAGTTAAGGGCACATACTCGGGTAAGGGGCGCAGTGGATGAGCTGAAGCCAAGCCCTTTGGATCCGAACCCTTGAGCACATTCTTAACATTATTGCAAGCTCCCTTGTGTAAATATGCGGGTCGGTCATGTATGTATGAACTAGTACTATGTAATTGTAGATGGCGGTGAAGGTACAACAATTCAGATGGTGAGTCTGAACAATGTTGGGTCTTGCAGAACCTAGCTGCTATTCGACCCTAAAGGGTTTCTGGACCAGGCTCAAGGCTCAGAGGAGAGGAAATGTCATAAAAACTGCTGAAGACTCAGACTCATACTGGTAACTGGTGAAAAGGTAACTCCCTTATGTAAGCTACAAAGTGCCAACCTAAGGTAAGGTAAAAACAGTCTCTACAAGCCTAGCCAGAAATGAATCCCTACAGCGGCCAAGATGATTCATAAGTGGTAAGGTGGTTGGCATGCATTGTGAGGGCATGATTGGGTTATGGAATGTGATTGGCAAGTATCAGCCAGTATAAGATTCATCCCTGCACACTATTTAGTTTAGAATGTTCTACATAAACCAATGACTTACCCTCCGCAATGCTGATCTTAGGTGTTGGATAAGATGAGCACAAGTGCGTGCACTGTTACACATCAACCACCTTAGCAGGCACAGTGTTGTGGGGTTAGGGGCCTTGAGTCCGTAAATCAGGAACTGCATGAGTGATGTAGTACTGAATACATTACCACCGTGACCTTTGCCATGAGGTATTCGAGTTGTGTCTGTGAAATTGGGTGTATTGTGGCAGATGAGATTCACATGCGATAAACTTATGATATTGTCCACGTTGATGCCAATGTGAGGTAAATTCAAAATGCAAGACATGTTTTTGGTCTGACATTGAGATATAGATGGGTATGTTTAAATGATAATCTATTTTTCTTACTGTAATTGCTCCTTTTATAGCAGTTGTAAGTGGATGATTAAGATGACGATTGAATGGATCAAACAACCATAAACAACCAATAGAAACAGATTTGGATTCTGTTATGATAACCACTCGGCTAGACACAGCTCTGATTTGCTTGCAAGCTGACCGACCATAAGCATATGTTAAGGTGTGCTTTCATAGAATAAAAATAAAAAATGTTATCATCGGCAGGTTTCAAACCTACACTATTCAAGAGAAACAGATTTTGACTCTGATGATCACTGGATCAATTTCATCTTTAGCAGGTTTTGAATCCACACAGACAGATTTAGATTCTGTTGTATCAACTGCTTGGCTAAGACCAGTTAGATTCACTTCTGATGAACCCAATGATTCAGAAGTGAGTCCTCGAGGTACATTTATCTGCATTTTGTCAGTTATTTCAATAGCATGATTACTGTTGATTATTTTATAATGCTCTTATGGCAAAAGACACAGACTCCTGCTAGGGCTCTTAACTTCAAGACCTGTTTATCTAACAATTGTCCTAAAAAAGTGCTGATGACAGACCCCCATGGTGGGCCCATGAGTGAAAACTGACATAATCTGTATAATGATGTGTATTTTGCATTAACTTGGGATTCATTATGTTCCACCATTTTGGATGTCATAGAATAAAAACATTGTTATTGGCAGGTTTCAAACCTGCACAGTTGAAGAGAAACAGATTTTAAATCTGGGGATAACTTAACCAAGATCAATGAAGATCAATGTCTGAGATGCTGTCCATGAGCAAATATTCAAGACACATATTCTTAGAGAAAAAATGCAACATTCAACAAGTTTCAAACTTGTTGCACTCTGATGGAAACAGATGTTGATTCTGTTATGACAGCCACTTAGCTAAATACAACTGTGATCAGCTTGCAAGGAAACCGACCATGAGAAAATTTCAAGGTGTGTTTTCATAGAAAATGAATTTTATCACTGGCATGTTTCAAACCTGCGCAGTCCAAGAGAAACAGATTTTAACTCTAATGATCACTTGGCAAATTCATCTTTAGCAGGTTTTGAACCCACACAGACAGATTTAGATTCTGTTGTATTAGCTGCTTGGCTAAGACCAGTTGGATGCACTTTCAATAAATTTATTTAGAAGTGAATCCTCAAGGCACATTTATCTGTTGGGTTCCCTTTCCAAGCAAGTTGTAGTGCTGCCAGTGAATTGAGGTGTGCCAACCAAAATTAGAAATTTCTGACAGAATACTCAAAAATGTCTGACTGTCCCCATTTGTATTTGCTTGCACTTGGACCTCTGAGAATCTATACACTGCAAAAAAATTATGAGCAGGTTTTAAAGAAACATATTTTGATTCTGTTGCAATATTAACAGGTTTCAAATTGGTGTCTGAGATACTGTTTATGAGCAAATATTCAAGGCATGTTCTGATAGAAAAAATGCGACATTCAATGGGTTTCAAACCTAAGTGCATGAATTCATTGGATGCTGAGCTTTCATATTTTTGTACTGACATCAGGAAATGTTAGGGTGTAATTGCATAGAATAAAAATATTACCATTGGCAGGTTTGAAACCTGCAAAGTACAAGACAAGCAGATTTTGACTCTGATGATAACTTGACTAAGGCTAATGAAGATCTATGTCTGAGATACTGTCTATGAGCAGATATTCAAGGCATGTTCTTATGGAAACAATGCAACACTTGATAGGTTTCAAACCTGTTGCACTCCAATAGAAATAGATTTTGATTCTGTCAGGACAACCACTTGGCTAAAACACAACTCTGATGAGCTTGTAAGCAAATTGCAAATCGACCATGAGCATGTGTCAAGGTGCGGTTTTATAAAAAATGAATATAATCATTGGCAGGTTTCAAACCTGCACATTCCAAGAGAAACAGATTTTGACTCTGATAATCACTGGCAATTGCATCTTTAGCAGGTTTTGATCCCACATGCACACAGATTTGAAACAGATTTGGATTCTGTTGTAGCAACTGTTTGACTAACACCAGTTAGATCCATCTTTAAAGAAAACATTCAGAAGTGAAGCTGCAAGGCAAGTCTACAGTTCCCTGTCACTTGCAATGTTTTCCCTCAGCTGAACAGATGAATTGAATACAGACTGCAATACTACAGCACTTTCAAAAAGTGAAAGGAGAGAAACATGATGATGAAAGGTCTCAAATACAATGCACTTCAATCTTATACATAAGTGAATAATGGCTGGATGGCTCTTTTGAATCTCAGCCTTGACAGATGTGTATTCTTTCTCATTCTCCAGGTCATTAGGATCAAACTTGAAAGTTTGATGTATAATCTGCTCTTCTTCTTCAACCAAGTTAAGACCTTTGGAGAGAATTAAATTGCTTTTGTACTTATCATTCTGAGTTTACATCAAAGATACTTACATTTGCCTCTGGTAATTTTTTAGGAGAAAAAGCAAAATAAAAGACTCAACAGTGACCATGCTATTAAAAGAACTGACAAAATGCAGATAAAATGTACCTTGAGGATTCACTTCTGAATGAGTTCATTGGAAGTGAATCTCACTGGTCTTAGCCAAGCAGTTGATACAACAGAATCTAAATCTGTCTGTGTGGGTTCAAAACCTACTAAAGATCAAGTTGCAAAGTGATTATCAGAGTCAGAATCTGTTTGTTCTGGACTGTGTGGGTTTAAAACCTGCCAATGATAATTTTCATTTTCTATGAAAATGCACCTTGACACATGCTCATGGTCGGTTTGCTTAAGAGGTCATCAAAGTTGTATTTAGCCGAGTGGTTGTCATAATAGAATTCAAATCTGTTTCCATTGGAATGCAACAGGTTTGAAACCTGTTGAATGTTGCATTTTTTTCTATTAGAACATTCCTTGAATACTTGCTCATAGACAGTATCTCAGACACTTATCTTCATTGGTCTTAGTCAAGTTGTCATCAGAGTCAAAATCTGTTTCTCTTGGACTTTGCGGGTTTCAAACCCGCCAATGATCACATTTTTATTCTATGAAATTACACCTTGACATTGACTCATGCATACTTTCCTGAGAGCTACATTTCACTGGTCTTAGCCAAGTAGACATTGAAACAGAGTCAAAATCTATTAGGAGGATAATGGTGTATAAACTGAGCCTAAAAGTGAGTTGTAAATATGGATCCTATGAGCCTACAAAGATATAAGTCTCTACAGCAGAATAATTTTTTTCGCCAGCTGATAGCTGAGGCATGAGGCTAACCTAGAGTTTAGTCTATGAACAAATTAGGTGAGGTGATGTGGAGCCCA